GTGGGCTCAGGCAATCCACTTGCCTCGGCCTCCCAAAGTGCTGGGATGACAGGCTGAGCCCGGCTGGATATTTTGTTTTAATAAAAGTCATGAGCACTTTGTATAGTAAGTGCTCATGTCACATGAAGTAAACATAGGGCATAGAAACAATGGTGGTTTTTAAAAATGGAGAGCTAAAAAAATCAAATTGATTTTCCCTTTCATTCTATTCTTTTAATTAGGGGTAAGAAGACCGGGCACGATGTTGATTTTTTAATTACCAGCCCAGGAGCAACCGAGGAAGAAGAACAGCAACTTTTACATAAAGTGATAAGCTTATGGGAACATAAGGTGAGAAGACAGATGTAAAAAAAAAAAAAAAAAGTCAGGCTCAGTGGCTCAGCCTGTCATCCCAGCACTTTGGGAAGCCAAGGTGAGTAGATTGCCTGAGCCCACAGGTTCGAGACTCACCCGGGCAACTTGGCAAGGCCTTATCTCTACCATAAAACAAAAAATAGCCGGGTGTGGTAGCGTGCGCCTGTAGTTCCAGCAACTCGGAAGGCTGAGGCGGAAGGATCGCCAGAGGCCAGCATGTCGTGGCTGCGGTGGCCAGGAGCGTGTCACTGAACTCCAGGAGCCTGGGTGACAGAGTAGATGCCAGCTGAAAAAAAAAAAAAAAAAAGCTGGGATCGGTGGCTCAGCCTGTAATCCCACGCCTTTGGGAGGCTGAGGTGAGTGGATTGCCTGAGCCCGCGGGTTCGAGACCCACCTGGGCAGGCAAGACCTCATCTCTACAATAAATCAAAAAATTAGCTGGGCGTGGTAGCACGTGCCTGTAATTCTGGCTACTCGGAAGGCTGAGGTGGAAGGATCACCGGAGCCCAGCGCACTCCAGTCTGGGCGACAGAGTGAGACTCCAACTCAAAAAAAAAAAAAAAAGATGCTCGCACACACTCAAGCATTCTATGAACACCATTGAATTTTGCATATTGTTGACCTTGTACTTGTGCCATGACCATCTGAGCAATGACCACTTATTTGCAACAGTGTGTCCATTGCAGCCGCAGTATACTTTCACTTACTCTGTGATCACCGGGGTCCAGGGTGGTGGCAGATTGTATTTGATAAGCACTCAAACAAAAAAAAGAGCAAAGGCCATGAAGACCCAGGGAAGGGGAGACAGAATATTACACGCCTGGGGAGGGGGCAGGACTGCAAAGACCAGACTCAAATCGGTCCAAGAGGCATCGCCAGAGCCTTGAATTCTCTGCCGGTCAATGACAACCTTGACTGTGCTGGGACGGGGAGAAGGACACTGTGGAGGGCAAGCTGGGCCCTGCAGAGGTCATGGATCAGAAGCCCCTGCCCACTGAGGGGGGCAGACTTGGAACAGGCCATCATATCGCCCAGTGGAGGAAACCAAGCCAAGCTGAGCTTGCCTGCAGAGAGAGTCACTTGCAGGGCCCTGAGTTCTGTCCGGTTGGAGTGACAGCCCCACTCCCCGGAATGGCCAGAAGGCCCCACGCCAGGGGCCTGGAGACCTCTCTCCCTATTGGCTGAGGAAGTGGGACTGGTGTCCCTCTGGCAGGGCTCCCTCCTGCTAAGTGGTTAGCGAGACGTCAGATAAAGTGAAATTAAGAACTGGAAATACACAACCTAGAGCCAGCAGTCCGGGCAGTGAAGCCCCCAACTTTGGAACCAGATACAAGTTCACCCGTGAGGCCATCCAACCCCCTCTGTCCCTCTCAGGAGACTGGACACAGGCGGCTCTGAAAGTAGACATAACAGACCCAGCCAGGGGAAGGCAGGACAAGGATGAGTCAGTGGCTAGCCCCAAAGTTCTGCTCAAGATGAAAGATTCTCACTGATAGGCAGAGAAGCAAAAGCCAAGACCCACCAACTGGGGCTTGGGTAGAGAGTGGGCTCCCTGGCTCCCCACCTCGGCCCCACAAGGATGGGTCTATCTGACCTTGACTTATAGGTACCCCCACCCCGTGTTGAGACTATCAAGACTGGAAGGGGATAGGGAGACACCCTTCTTTCTGTAGGTCTTTCCTTAGTTTCGAGGGGACTTACCCTTGGCCCCCAAACAGACATGAACCTTTTACACGAAGGTGCCACGGTAGAGGCTAATGTTAAATGTGTAGGTTTTAGATTTGGGATTTGGGATTTCTTTGGGGGGTTTATTTGTTTTTTGAGACAGGGTCTGTCTGTCTCTCAGGTTGGAGTGTAGTAGAGCAACCCAGGTTCATTGCAACCTCAAACTCCCAGCCTCAAGCAATCTTCCCACCTCAGTCCCCTGAGTGGTTGGGTCTACAGGAGTGCACCACCATGCCTGGACAATTTTTTTAAATTCTTTTTTTTGTAGAGACGGAGTCTCACTATGCTGCTCAAGTTAGTCTCAAACTCTCAATCTCAAGTGATCCCCCCCCCCCGTCTCGGCCTCCCAAATTGCTGGAATTATAGGTGTGATCCGGATTTGGGATTATGTCAACACAGCTCTGCCACTTCCTGGCTGCATGACCTGGGATGGGTTACTTAATCTTCCCAAGTTTCACTTTCCTCGTCTGCAATCAGGGGTAACAAGGCTCTCTCATTCGTTCAAGGGGAGGATTAAATGACCGAATTAGATCCAGCTCTTGGTGCAGTGCCTGACGACTGGTAAAAGCCTCATGAGGGGTGACGGCCGTTATTATCTCTCCTGCACGATTATTTAGTGACCCCGGCCTGAAAGTCAGGCACAGGGCCATGTGAGGGGCCCAGGGGTGAACAGGGGCTTTCTCCTCCCTTTCCCCTGCTAACAAACACCAGAGGCAGGAAGACGCTGTGGAGCAGTTGTGTGGAGGCCCAGCCCTGAGGTCCCTGCAGCTCCCTGCCTCCCCCAACACGTTGGGTGTGAAATCAGCACACGAGTTGTTCATATTCAACGTCCATCCCTACCTCACGTTCACGCCCGGCCATGCTTACCCCGATGGCAAAGATGGCATCCTACGTAGGCACATACGTGCACATCCACACCCAACATACACAACATATACATCCAGTGGTTTGTAACACGGGTCCCCAAGCCCCCAGGCTGTGGATCGGTACCTTCTGAGGCCTGTTAGGAACTGGCTACATAGCAGGAGGTGAGTGGCAGAGAGCGGAGCTCCATCCTCTGCCAGATCAGCTGCGGCATTAGAGATTCTCATAGGACCGAGAACCCTATTGTGAACTGCACACGGGAAGGATCCAGGCTGCACCCTCCTTACAAGAATCGAATGCCTGACGATCCTCCTCCTCTCTCTGTCATCCATGAAACGGGTCTCTGAAGCCAAAAGTTTGGAGACTGTTGCTTTAAAACCCCTGCAGATGGTCGGGCTTGGTGACTCGGCCTGTCATCCCAGTATTTTGGGAGGACGAGGTGAGTGGATTGTCTGAGCCCACGGGTTCGAGACCAGCCCAGGCAACTTGGCGAGACCTCGTCTCTACAATAAATCACAAAAAAAATTAGCTGGACGTGGTAGCGCGTGCCTGTAGTTCTGGCTACTTGGAAGGCCGAGGTGGAAGGATCACTGGAACCCAGTAGGTAGACGCTGGAGTGTCCATGAGTGTTCCATTGCCCTTCAACCTGAGAGACAGAGTGAGACTCCAACTCAAAAAATAAATAAATGAATAAATAAATAAATGCATAAATAAGTAAATACATAAATAAATAAAAATAAAACATGTATAGCCAGTGAGTTACCCATTCTTGCAGGAAACCCCTTGGTCAGGGGCAAGAAGAAGGCAGGACAAGATCTCGAAATAATATTGGAGCCGGGCTCGGTGGCTCAGCCTGTAATCTCGCGCCTTTGGGAGGCTGAGGTGAGTGGATTGCCTGAGCCCGCGGGTTCGAGATCCACCTGGGCAGCGAGACCTCATCTCTACAATAAATAAAAAAATCAGCTGGGCGTGGTAGCGCATGCCTGTAATTCCAGCTACTTGGAAGGCTGAGGCGGAAGGATTGCCGGAGCCCAGCAGGTCGAGGCTGCGGTGGCCAGGAGCGGCCACTGCACACCAGTCTGGGTGACAGAGTGAGACTCCAACCAAAAAAAAAAAAAAAAAAAAAAGAAATAATATTGGTCTTTGGGGGAGGTTTGCTAGCTTCAAAGACTCCACTAGCCTGAGTTCTCCCTGGCCACTCAGCCCAAAGGGAAGAGGTTCCATGGATCTGGTCTGGTTCACACCTAGTGGGTGTGGGCACCTCGCCATTCTGTGTGTCCACATCGCTAGCTCTTGGGGCTGCTAGGAGATGGAGCGAGGGTCAGGAACATACTCCATTCGCTTTGAGAAAGGGATTTGACTTTGAATAGGGAACATGAGTCTTCCAAGGAGCTGGAGGGAACCCAGAAGCAGAGGGCAGGGCGGGGATCCTGGCCGAGTGACTCACACGCAGCTGTGTACCCTCCCTGTCTGTTGGGGAGACTGAGACACCATCCCAAGGGGCTCCCTCCTGCCCCACCTTCTCTTCTTTGATCATTGATCCTGGGAACCCGCTATCCCGGCCCCTGGGGAGGGAGCAGGACAATGCTTCCTCCTGGTGGGAGTCTCTCAGTTTCCAACAGGAAAGGTAAAAAAGGAAAAGAAAAAAGAACAAGCTGATGTGACTATTCAGGGTGTCGATGGAAAAGCCAGAGTCCAACCTCTAAAAGGAGTTTCCAAGGGGAGAAGGGAAGTGAGGGACCAGGAGGGAAACTGCAGAAAACAGAGATGCCAGGCAAACAGCCAGGGCTGGAGACCTGGAGGTGACTTCAGTGCTGGGATTACAGGCTGAGCCACTGAGCCTGGCCCGCTTTTTTTTTTTTTAAGGAAGGTATGTTATTACAAATTTGGTTTTAATGCGAAACAACAAATATGTTCATTGCTCCCTTTTCACATTTACATAATTGAAATGGACACGAAAAATTGCTACACTGTGCTTATTTTAGTAAGCTTCCTTAGAAAGCAGAATGGTGATTTCCTGGGCTGTTTTTCTTTTGTTTTTTTTTTTGAGTTGGAGTCTCACTCTGTCGCCCAGACTGGAGTGCAGTGGACGCTCCCGGCCACTGCAGCCTCGACCTGCTGGGCTCCAGCGATCCTTCCGCCTCAGTCTTCCAAGTAGCCAGAACTACAGGTGTGCGCTACCACGCCCGGCTGATTTTTTTTTTTTGATTTATTGTAGAGATGAGGTCTTGCTGCCCAGGTGGGTCTCGAACCCCCGGGCTCAGGCAATTCACTCACCTCAGCCTCCCAAAGGCGCGGGATTACAGTCTGAGCCACGGAGCCCGGCTGGGCTGGTTTTTAGAAGTTAACTAGGGTGACATTTACCTCCTTCCCCAAGCCTCTTCCGGACATCAGTGCTTCCGCCCCTACCCCTCAACTGGTGTTTGTGCTGCGAGGCACTAAAGGATGAAGAGTTCCTTCTTCTGAGATCAGAAAAAAAGAAAACAGTATCCTTTTGAATGGAAACAATCTCTTATGGGTTTGCAAGTGGGAAGCCTGTCTAATAATAATAAACTGAATCCAGTGATGCTCAAAGTGCAATTCCTGGACCAGTGATGGCAGCATCACCCAGACACATGTTAGAAATACCCTCCCCAAGCTTCATTGCTCTGGCGACAGGGCCCTGCACAATGCTTTATCAAGTCTCTCCCAAATGCTTCTGATGATAAAATTTGGAACGTTTGACCTAAAGAATCCATGACGACAACTCACACACCCCTGTAGCCGGGATCACATTATTTGGGGGTATCTGCTTTTTTAGTTGTCACTCCTAGTTAGCAGTTGATCACATGTTTCTGTCTCTCCCTTCCCCACATCTGTCCTGTGTCAGAAACTGTCCCTGAGGATGGTAACTTGCTTGGGCAAGTGTCTGAGAATCACTGTCACCTCTCTGGGTAGATAACTTCAGACGAAACGTGGGTCATGTGCATCACGAACGTCATTCCCGTTTCTCCAGGGCAAGCAGAGCACCACTCTCTCCTGGGAAGCCACATCCCACGTGCCACCTAGGAGTAGCAAATCCTCCTGCCTCTCAGTGGGGCTCAGCCTCCAGCCACAACGCTTTGGGCCCGTTAAACCTGGCCATTGGTATGATTTAAAGGGACACTGTCTTAGTCTGTTTGTGTTGTGCTGAGACTGGGTAATTTTTAAGAAAAGAGGTTTATTTGGCTCACGGTCCTGCAGCTGTACAAGAAGCATGGCGCCTGCGTCTCCCTCTGAGGAGGGCCTCAGGGAGCTTCCACTCACAGCAGAAGGGAAAGGGGAATGGAAGCCAGTGAGCGTGAGTCACATGGTGAGAGGTAAAGCAAGAGGAGGAGGGGGAAGGCCTCAGACTCTTTTTTTTTTTTTTTTTTGAGTCAGTGTCTCACTTTGTCTCCCAGGCTGGAGTGCCGTGACATGCTCACGGCCACCCCAGCGTCAACCCGCTGGGCTCCAACAATCCTTCCACCTCAGCCTTCCAAGTAGTTAGAACTACAGGCACATGCTACCACGCCCAGCTAATTTTTGATTTATTGTAGAGACGAGGTCTCGCCAAGTTGCCGGGGTGGATCTCGAACCCGTGGGCTCAGGCAACCCACTCTCCTCGGTCTCCCAAAATGCTGGGATTACAAGCTGAGCCACTGAGCCTGGCCAGCCCCAGACTCTTTTTAACAATCAGTTCTTCCAGGAACTAATAGAATAAGAGTTCATTCATTCGAGTCATTCATGAGGGGTCCGCCGCCTGCCAGTCCCCACCTCCAACACTGGGAATCACTTTTCAACATGAGGTTTAGGGGGACAAACGTCTAAACTCTAGCAGACACCAACTCAGAACAATCCCCCCTAGAAACAGCATGGCCTTTTGTTCATGGCTGGTCTGTTTCTAAAGGGCTTAGGAGGTTCCCCGAGCCCTGACTGAGCTCACTGCTAAGTCCCTTTTCTGCAGAGGAAAGATTATGCAGCCATGTCCAAAGCTCCCTCTCCTAGTGTGTCCAGGTGGGTTTGGGAATGCAAGGAGCAACACACACCCACATTCTGCTCAGATGTGTAGAGCTTTCTTTGAGAACCCAGGATGAAATCACAGACCCTGTCCATCAGGGCCTCTTCCTAACATCACTGTATTTCCTTTCAGGGATTGCTTTTGTACTATGACCTTGTGGAGTCGACTTTTGAAAAGCTCAAGTTGCCCAGCCGGAAGGTCGATGCTCTGGACCACTTTCAAAAATGCTTTCTGATCTTAAAGTTGCACCATCAGAGAGTGGACAGTGACCAGTCCAGCTGGCAGGAGGGGAAGACCTGGAAGGCCATCCGTGTGGACCTAGTCGTGTGCCCCTATGAGCGCCGTGCCTTTGCCCTGCTGGGGTGGACCGGTTCCCGGGTAAGTGCTCCATGGACCCAGGACAGTGCCGGCTTTCCAAAAGGCAGAGGTCAGGTCCACCTGGGCCCTGGGAAGAGACCATGGCATCAGGGGCGGGGTGACAGGGGAGGGACTGGTGCCCAGAAACCTCTAAGTCTGGGCATTTTTCCACTCATGTGAGGCAGATGACATTAACACAGTTATTCCCAGTGTGTGGTCAGCAGGAGCAAACTTACCTGGTATCAAGTCAGACATGTAAATTCTCCACCCTACCCTAACCCTAAGGAATCAAAAACTCTAGGGGTGAAGTGCAGAAATTTGTGTTTGAAAAGCTCTCCTGGTGTTTCTGCTGTAGCTCAAAGGTGAGAACCACTGAGGTAGAGAAACCAGCAAAGTGGTTAAGAGAGGAAACCACAGAGTGAAGAGACCACCACAAACTGGGAGAAAATATTTGCAAATCAACCATTGGATAAGGGGCTATTATCCAAAATAGACAAGGAACTCAAATGACTCAGTAGCGAGAGCACAAATGAACCCTGTTAAAAAATGGGCAAAAATCTTGATAGATATTTTGCAAAAGAAGGCATATGAATCGCCAGCATACTACAAATGCCTAACATCTCAAATCATAAGAGAAACACAAATTAAAACCACAAGGAGATATGACCTCGCATCTGTTAGACTGATTATTGCCAAAAAGATAATCACTGGTGAGGCTGTGGTGTAAAGGGAACCCTTGTGCACTGTTGGTGGGAATGTCAATTAGGACAGTCGTTATGGAAAACGCCATAGAGGTTCCTCAAAAAACTAAACACAGAACTACCATAGGATCCAACGATTCCACTCTTGGGCTGACACTCAGAGGAACCAAAATCAGTAAATCAAAGAGATATCTGAGCTGGGCTGTGGCTCAGCCTGTAATCTCGCGCCTTTGGGAGGCTGAGGTGAGTGGATTGCCTGAGCCTGCGGGTTCGAGACCCCCCTGGGCAACTTGGCGAGACCTCATCTCTACAATAAATCAAAAAATTAGCCGGGCGCGGTAGCATCCGCCTGTAGTTCCAGCTACTTGGAAGGCTGAGGCGGAAGGATCGCCGGAGCCCAGCAGGTCGAGGCTGCGGTGGCCGGGAGCGGCCACTGCACTTCAGTCTGGGCGACAGAGTGAGACTCCAACTCAAAAAAAAAAAAAAAGAGAGATATCTGTACTCCCATATGTTTATTACAGCATTATTCACAATAGCCGAGCTATGGAAACCACGTAAGTGTCCAGCAACAGAAGAATGGATAAAGAAAATGTGGGATAGGGCAACCCCCTCAGGCTCCCTCCCACTGTGGGAGAGCTTTTCAGTCCTCTCAATAAATCCTGCTTTCTCAAAAAAAAAAAAAAAAGAAAGAAAGAAAAGTAAAGAAAGTGTGGGATTGATACACAGTGGAATACTATTCAGCCTTAAAATTCTGTCATTCATAACAACAAATAGTGTATGATCTTACTTCCATGTGCAGAATCTAAAAAAGTCAGACTCATAGAAGCAGAGATAAGAACGGTGATTAGAGGCTGGGAGTAAAGGTGACAGGGACAGGAAGTTGCTGGCCATCAGGTACAAGGTTTCAGTTAGGTAAGAGGAGTAAGATCAGGTGTTCTACTGCACAGCAAGGCAGCTATAGTTAATAATAACGTATGTTTCAAAATAGCTAAAAGAGGATTTTTAATGTTCTCACCGCAAAGAAATAATAAATATTTGAGGTGATAGATATGCTAATCACCCTGATGGATATGCAATATATACATGAGTCAAAACATTACATTGGAACCCACCAAAATATATATATATAATTATTTTTTCATTAAAGTAAAACTATTTTTTAAACATTTTAAGAGAAAAAGTTGGGCTCATCCCAGACCGGTTACAAGCTCCTGTTTTGTCTCTTACCAGCTGGGTAATCTTGAATTAGTTTTCCAAGTCCCGTAAGACTCAGTTTCCCCATCAGGAGGTCAATGACCTTAGCAACCTCCCTGGGTTGTGGCCATTGGGTGAGAGGTCAGCTCCACACTGGGCACGTGGTCAGTGCTGGATACACAGTAGCTCCCGACTTCCCTCACTTTCTATTCACAGGAGAGGATGCCCACAAAGTGAGCCCAAAACACAACTCCACTCTCCAAACCAAGTACACCACACGGTTTCTCCTGTTTCCCCATGGAGCTGGCTGTTGCTTTGAGTACCGTGAATCCTTGGAGGGCTTTGTTTTGTTTCTGAGTCAAAGTCTTACTCTGTCACCCTGGCTGGAGTGAGGTGGCATGCTCACGGCTACAATCATAGCCTTGACCTGCTGGGCTCAGGAGATCCTTATGCCTCAGCCTTCCAAGTAGCTGGGATTACATGCACACACCTCCACACCTCGCTAATTTTTTTTATTTATTGTAGAGACAAGATATCACCATGTTGTCCAGGCTGGTCTCGAACTCCTGGACTCAGGCAATCCTCTTGCTTCAGCCTCCCAAAGGGCTGGGATTTCAGGCGTGAGCCACCCTACCCAGAGGTTTTATATAGATGAATGACATCACACAAATGAACCGTTCTCAACCTTCCATTAAATGTCAGCTGTCTATGGGCTGAATTATTCCAGTACAGCATTAAGCACTGGAATTTCTTACCCTAAACAAAAATGGCGTGTGGCAATTAAATGTTTCTTTCATGCATGAAAAAAATGGAAGAACTAATGAAACAATACATGATATATACAATGTCTGATAGACAAAAATCCTGGGGAACACAGAGGTGAGTGAGAAAGGGGAAAGTTCCAGAAAGAAGTTGTTGGTGATGCAAAGCCATGCCGGTAGGAATCATGGGCTGAAACGGTTGCCCTTTGACCATTTTGTTCTTAGGAGGAACAAGTTCTCAGCACATGCTAGTGTCTTTTCTCAGAGTCTCAGGCACTGCTGATGTTGGCCCTGCAAGGCATTGACAGGACACAAGCTCCCCCACTGCTGGCTGTGTGACTGTAGACAGCTTATTGAAGCAACCCTTCGAATCCCAGTTGTCCCATCTGGATTGCAGATAACAGTGGCACCCACCTCATAATGTGGCTGCCTGGGCCCACCGAGACGTGATGTGGTTTTGGTGGTGGCTGTTTTTTGAGTTGGAGTCTCACTCCATCGCCCAGACTGGAGTGCAATGGCACACTCCCGGCCACCCCAGCCTCGACCTGCAGGGCTCTGGCGATCCTTCCGCCTCAGCCTTCCAAGGAGGCGGAACCACAGGCATGCGCTACCACACCCGCTAATTTGGGGTTTATTGTAGAGATGAGGTCATGCCGACTTGCCCGGGCTGGGCTCAAACCTGCAGGCTCAGGCAATTCACTCGCCTGGGCTTCCCAAAGTGCTGGGATTACAGGCTCGAGCCACCGTGCCCGGTCCCATGGTGTTGTTTTGAATGTGTGAGGACCCAGCAAACGGTAGCCAATTCTGTAATCTTGTGTAATTACATTCATCCCCCCACTTACGTGACCACTGAATGCTGCAGGTTTGTCTGCCTATAGTAGCTCCAGGTTGGAGCTTTGCTCCCAGAGGATACACGAGATCCGACAATTAGGTTCACGAACCATCCTAGAAAAAGCGCTCCATCCCTCATTGCCAAATATCACTATAGTCACCTTCGAAGTCCTCCCCTTAGGAAGTTATGCACCAACATCAGCGCCTAGTCCACCATCAAAGCAATTTTCATACTCTTTTTCTGCAATGGCCATCAGAGCCGTCGTTGTTATCTGTTGAGGTCTGACAATTGAGCTTGTGAACTTGCCACCATGTGCTTACGTGGGCAGTGCTGTCCACATAAGCATGAATAATAGTATGGAATACCCTTCCTATTCACCTGATCTGGCCCCCAATGACTTTTTTCTTTACCTGAAGATAAAAATAAAGTGTAATATGAGACAGCTCTGATGGACATTCCAGAAAAAGAGTTCCAAAAATTGCTTTGATGGGTGGATTAGGTGCTGTCATTGGTACAGAGCTTCCCAAGGGGAATACTTCGAAGGTGACTGTAATGATATTCAGCGATGAGGAAAGTAGCACTTTTTCTAGAATGAGTTTGTGAACTTAATTGTTGGACCTTATTGGTGGATGACGAGGATGGGTCTTGTTGAAAATTTGGGAGGTGTCGACATTCCATTTTAAAAACAAGCACAGAGAAAGGGAAACTCAGTTTCATCCTTTTGCTCTCAGATGTCAGGGCCTGGGAAGTGTTCTCAAGATAATCCAAGTTAAACTATCAATCTCACCTGAGCCCAGGAATGTTAAAGTATCAGGTTGTCTAAGCTTCCTTAGGGTCTTTGTGGTCCAAAGATTTCCCGAGCGGGATCAAGCTGCAGGAACACATGAAGCTGAGATTTTTCTAACCTTCAGTTGTGGTGTGATTTTGGGACGGAATACAGAGTTGATTTCGTCAAGACATCAAAAATATTTTGTTTTCCCCAGAATCGTGTTTCTTCAAGTTAATCTGCTTAGCTTGTCAGTGTCACTTCATTTGCTGGGGTTCCGTCAAGAGTACTGTTTGTGTTGATGTCAGATGGTGGGAGAAGGAAACACACAGATGATTGAGGCCAGGTATCTGAGCCAATTCAGCCCATTTACTTGCCCAGAGAGCACTCTTTCACCAGCTTTAAAAAGCATCTCTTCCTTAAGATACCTTACTGCCATTTGCCAGAAAAGTGTCACCATATGCATGGATATCTACAAAGGCTATAAATGTGAATGGCATCCTCTAGAGTTTTGCAGTGCACAACGGGCACAACTGTATGCAACAGCCCCAGGTCAGTCTCTGAAGTCACTTGTGAGGGATGATACAGCCAGGCTGAATAACATCGCCCCACTGTTCATCTTTCTTCATGTGAAACGTAAGACAACATTCTTGCCCCACCTGTCTCGTGGGGTTGCTGTGAGAAACCAGCATGGTGTCAAAGCAGAAGACAGAACTGTCCAGAGCAAAGGGCCTGAGCTTTGGGACTCAGGAGTCTGAGTCTGGAGTCTTTGGGATGTTGGAACCCTGGCTGCATCACTGGCTGTGTGGCCTGGGGTAAATTACTTAGGCTCTCTGGGCCTCCTTTCTTCCTCTGAAAAATGGGGCTAATAATAATAAACTTTGGCTGGGCACGGTGGCTCAGCCTGTAATCCCAACACTTTGGGAGGCCAAGACAAAAGGACTGTCTGCCCGGGGGTTCGAGACCAGGCTGGGCAACTTGTTGAAGGCTTCGTCTCTACAACAAATCACAAAAACTAGCCAGGCGTGGTGGCGTGTGTCTGTAACTCCAGCTACTTGGAAGACTGAGGCGGAAAGATCATTGGAGTCCAGCAGGTTGAGGCTGCAGTGGCTGTGAGCATGCCACTGCACTCCAGCCTGGGCGACAGAGTGAGAATCCAACTCAAAAAATAATAATAATAAACCTTGCAAGTTGTGATGTGGTTTACATGAGACAGTGCCTTCATCTTAGTGCAATGTTGAGTCCAATTCTGTACTCAGAAGTGTTCTTTTTTTTTAATTGAGTCAGGGTCTCACACTGTCACCCAGGCTGGAGTGCAGTGGGTGGCCACACACCTTGATCTGGACTCAGATGATCCTTCTGCCTCAGCCTCCCGAGTAGCTGGGTTGCACCACCATGCCCAGCTAATTTTTGATTTTTTGTAGAGGCATGGTCTCACTATGTTGCCTAGACTGGTCTCAACTCCTAGGCTCAAGCAATCCTCCCTCCTCAGCCTCCCAAAGTGCTGGGATTCTAGGTGTGAGCCACCGTGCCTGGCTCTAAAGGACTTCGGGCTGCAAAGCCTGTCTTTCCCCCAGCCTCAGCGAGCTCTCCCGTCGTAGTAGATTGTTTCTCACCACCAGAGGGTGCAATTGTCCCAGGCTTTCTCCCTAATCCCACCGGGAAGGACATTTCCAGACCAGTGCTCCTCTCAGGAAACAGCTTCAAAGGGCAACATTGTTCATTGCCTTTCTTCTCCAAGGCTGTCTGTCCTCTGTCGCAGGCTTCACATTTTGCTCCCCGCAGTCTCAGAACCCACTCCAGATCACTGGAGAGGCCATTCTGGGGCAGGTGACTTAGCCCATGCCTTACCGTCCTTTCATTCAAACAAGACTCAGAGAGCCTGGGTGACTTCCCAAGAGATGGATGCACAGCCAGGTGGAGACAAAACCCAGGCTGGAATGAATGGGTCCCCTGAGTCTTCCGCCCTCTTTTATGATAAGGATGTTCGAATAATTGTTTAAAATCCACCAAACTCTCATTGATCCGGCATTTACTCTGGACCAGATATTATTCTGGGCGAAATCACATCATCCATTTATTCCTTCAACAATTTGCCACACCTCTTCCACATGTCAGGACTGTTTGTGGGAACGAGGTTATGGACAGAGATAACCCGCTCCCATCTTCACAGCGTTTACGTCCCAGTGTGCTTCTGGGAGTATGGACCTCTTTTGTCAGGGTGAGAATGCTGGGTGGACATAGGTGTTTCACGAGAGGGACTGGGCGTCACTCTATCTAGATACCCAGTACTGAAGACATCCTAGACTTGACAGTGACTTGTTTTAACGCTGTCTCGCCAGCAGTTCGAGAGAGACCTCCGGCGCTATGCCACGCACGAGCGGAAGATGATAATTGATAACCATGCCTTGTATGACAAGACCAAGGTAGGGGTCTCTCCCTGAAATGGGCCAGCTTGATCCTCCCCTCCAAGATTGGCTCCCTGAGCTCCTTTGCTGAACTGATTTTAGTGTCCGGGTACAGTTTCCTTTGCCACAAGTGTCCTATTCCTGGTCGATCACGGTTGAGGACAGCTGGAAAGTTCCCCCAAGCCCCACCTGGTCCAGATGCACCCCAGGGGTTCTTGGCTGAAAGATCACGAGCTCACTGGGCCTCCAGGGCCAGTCTGGGAGTGACCGTGAATTGAGTTTGGTATCTCCTTGGTTGCTCGCCATGAGTAATTCCAAAATAAACAAGGATCTTCCCAAATCACAAATATTACTCAAGTACTCCTCAAATGCGAGGGGAGCAGCATACTTTTTTTTTTTAGTTGGAGTCTCACTCTGTTGCCCAGACTGGAATGCAGAGGCATACTCACAGCTTACCACAGCCTTGACCTTCTGGATTCAGGCAGTCCTCTCACCTAGCCTCCCGAGTAGCTGGGACTACAGGTGTTTGCCACTATGCTTGGCTTAATTTTTTATTTTTGTAGAGATGAGGTCTTGCTATGTTGCCTAGACTGGTCTCGAATTCCTGACTTCAAGCAATCCTCCTGCCTCAGCCTCTCAAAATGCTGGGATTACAGGTGTGAGCCACTGCTCCCAGCCAGGAAGGGACTTTTTGAGTGACCACATAGGGCATTCATGTGAGTCTTTTGCAAGAAAGAGAGCAAGAGAGCTGCCCTGAGGTGTCCGTGAGCAGTCACAAGTCTCACTCACGCTGTGTGACTCACCTGGTGTGGTGACCTCGCTGTGGCCACCATCCAATTCAGGCCTCAGTGACATGATGGGTACTGTATGATTTTTAGTTGCAGTCTCACTCTGTCACCCAGGCTGGAGTGCAGTGGCAAACTCACGGCCACCCCAGCGTTCTTCCGCCTCAGTCTTCAAAGTAGCCAGATCCACAGGTGATTGCTACCATACCCGGCTCACTTTTTTTTTTTTTATTGTAGAGACAAGATCTCATCAAGTTGCCCAGGCTGGTCTCGAACCCGGCTCAGGCAATCCTCTCGCCTCAGCCTCCCAAAGTGCTGGGATTCAGGCTGAGCCACCGAGCCCAAATTTATTCAACTGTTAAATCCACAAGTGCCCAGGACTACTATTCTTAGAGTGTCAAGCACACCAAAATAAGCTGGGGGCGGGGAGAGAAGATACAAAATATCTAGAAGTAATTAGGACTGTCTCAGTTACAAGTGTCAGAAATCAAACCCAAGATGTTACAGGCAAAGGAAAAGGGGGATGGTGACTTGGGTTACATACCACAGAACTCAAGGATAACACTGGCTTCAAGCTGGCTTCCCATATTTTGACTCTGTTCTCAGGCATGTCTTTCATAAGTCCGATTCTTCCCGTTGCACGAATCCCAACTGCTGCTCACTGGCTGGGCCTGGGTTATGTGTCCATCCCTGAACCCATTGATGCGAATTTTTCAGGTCAGCCTGGGTTTCCAGAGTGCCAGCTGAATGGGTCAGTCAGCCAAGCCCCAGAGAGGGCAGTCCGGAGGGGCTGGCAAGCCTAAGCCCCAGAAGTGTTGGCTCTAATGGGCTGGTGAACCAAACCCTGGGAGTGTTGCTGGTTTGGCGGGCTGGCAAGTCTAGCCCCGGAGCGTCTCAGCTTCGGCATCTCGCCTTCTCCGGGCAGCTCTCCTGGTTCAGCTGGCTCCGTTGGCTTGCAAGCCAGCCTCTGGGGTGCACAGCTCTTCGGCTCCGACGATCTCTTGCAGCTCGTCAGGTCAGGTCGGGGCAACCAGAAAGTGAGAAAACGGGATTTATTGAGAGGACACAGACACTCTCATGATAGGAGCAGACAGCCGTCTGGGGCTGAAAACCTGGTGCTTCTATGACCCTAAGTCCAGCGAGCTGATTGGTCCGCACTAGCTGTTTCTGATCGATCAGAACTAAGGCCCAATTGGCAGGAGGTAGGGGCCTGATGGGTTGCTTTTCCATCCCAGCAGTGAGTACTTAAGCTCCAGCTTGAGAGGCTTGCAAGGCGCGTGTTCACCAATGCTGAGTCTCAGAGGCCTGGGGGTCATGGAGGCTGAGCATGTGAGCGGAGGCAGTGTCACATAACACACTTAAGGACACTTAAAAATGAACACACGCTAAATTGGACAGCATAAGTGAGTGTCTTCTCTGCGCCTAGCGCTGTGCTAAACACAAGAAGGAATGGACAGAGACAGGACTTGTTCTTAAAGAGACCGTGGATTGGGGCCTGGTGGGGTAGAGGCCGGTGTGGGAGGGAGGCTGCAACCAGTGCATATAAGTGTCCTAGAATTGCCAGCAGGACATAATTCCAGGTTCACATAAGAACTCCCCGGCCGGGCTCAGTGGCTCAGCCTGTCACCCCACTTTGGGTGGCGAGGCGAGTGGATTGCCTGAGCCTGCGGGTTCGAGACCAGCCCGGGCAACTTGGCGAGATCTCGTCTGTACGATAAATCAAAAAAAATTAGCTGAACGTGGTAGCGTGTGTCTGTAGTTCTGGCAATTTGGGAGGATTGCCTGAGCCCAGCAGGTCGACGAGGGGGTGGCCATGAGTGTGCCATGGCACTCCAGCCTGGGCAACAGAGTAAGACTCCAACTTAAAAAAAAAAAAAAACAACTACCTGGCACTCTTAAATAGACGGAAGACAAGACCTCTCCTGAGATCTAATTTCATTAGACGGAGGTGTGGTTCCGTCATCATTGTCTTGTTTTGTGTTCTAAGCTCCATTGGGTGGTTCTACTGAACAGCTACAGTGAAAGGTCACAGGCTGTGGGGAAAATATCCAAATGCCCTTTGCTGAGTATGTAGAACTGTCACGATTCTACCTTCATTCATTCGGTATCATATTTTTGGATGGGAAAAGGTGAAAATGACAGAAGTCAGTTAAAATGACTTTCAATGCTCAGAAGCAACGAGTCATGTTTGGGCAATAATTCATTCTAACAAGACAGGCTTACAAGCGATGCTTCCACTGTGTTGACACTGGAGGGTTTGGGAGAAATATCTGAACATACCTACTCTTGTTATATTTGCAGAGGATCTTCCTCGAGGCAGAAAGTGAAGAGGAGATTTTTGCACATCTGGGACTGGATTACATTGAACCGTGGGAAAGAAACGCCTAGCAAGATGCCGTCGATGTTTTTTTCTGTTCACGGCAGCTTAAATAAATGATGCTTCGTGTTAGTAAAAGTCGCTTTAGGAAAGTTTGAGATCCTTTAGGCCTTATTGCAATATAGATCGCAGCTAGAAATGAATTGCTCTGGAGACATGCTAGGTACCACATGGTAACAGGTCATGTTCTAGAAGGCCACGTGTAGGACTCTTAGACAGCAAGCATAGAATTCGCAATGCATTTTCCAGTTGAAATGGTGTGGTCATGGGTGCCTCCTTCACAGAGGCTCATTCAAGCCACCAGTGCCCCCAGAGCACTATGGATCCTCAATAAAAACTGAAGACAATAAGGTGCCTTCTTTCCATCAAATATTAGAAAATGAGTTTTTTGTTTGTTTTCAGTCAGGGTCTCGCTATCGCCCAGGCTGAAGTGCAGAGGCACAATCACGGTTCATCATGGCCTCGACCTCCCCGGCTACGGTATCCTTCTGCCTCAGTCTCCCGAGTAGCTGGGACTACAGGTGCATGCCACCATGCCCAGCTAATTTTTGATTTTTGGTAGAGATGAGGTCTCTGTGTGTTGCCCAGGCTTGTCTCAAACTCCTGGGCTCAAGCAATCCTCCCACCTCGGCCTCCCAAAGTGCTGGGATTATAGGCATGAGCCATTGTGCCCAACCTTTAACGTGTTTTGAAACACAAATGGAACCGAGTGGATGAATAAAGAGTTTAGTTTATCCTGAGGGGAAAACAGATTTCAGCAGAAGATGCAGAGATTCCAAAGAGGTCTCCGGATCCCTTCTGGGGCTCTTGAAGGAGGGGGTGCCAACTCCTGATTGGCACAGCCAGGCTCTGAGCCTGCCTCTCGCGGGCCACCATCCAACTGGTCTCTGGGCATCCAGCACTAGGTCACCTCCGGGGCGTGTCCTCACCACCTGCATTTGGAAGGACACACAACTTCCTAAACCGCCAAAGAAATACCCACCTCTTCTTTCCACCTCGAGCCTCTCTCTGGACCTCAGAGGCTCAGTCTTGTCTCAGGAAGACAATCTCTCTTGGCCTTTCTGTCTCAGGGCATTCAGGGCAAGGGACAGACCCCTGACTGAAGTGGCCTTTGGGAGTCCCAGCCTCCAGACCCATCCTCATCTCTGCCTCTGCTGGGGGGCACAGACTCTATGCCCGGAACGGACTTGACAGGACGTCTGTTCAGGTGCTTGGGTGGCCTCAGCCTTCTGAAGAGCTGGGAAGCCCACGGTAACCCCTGTCACTTTGAGAGGACAGTAATAGAGTATACCATAGACTTAGGTTAAGAGCATGCTATCACCCAATAAATATGTAATCGGCTTGTGGACAATAGCACAGCCATTTTTAGTTTTCGGTCTTAAAACATAACCTGTAACTGTTTAAAGTTTCAGTTATGGGAAAAACTGCAAAGCTCCGGTTACAAGCTTCAACCCCTTCCCTTATCTCACTTTCCCCTTACAACAACCAATCAGGTGCCAGGGGGTAATCACCTACGTTTCCAGATGTCTCTGCAACTTCCCTAGCTAGTGGGCCAAGGTCAGCCCGAGTCAGGCTAGCCAATCATCCACGATTAAGCTGACCACCAGAGGTTACCACCCAATTAAATGGTAACAAGACTGGAAAGCGCCCCCAAACTCCTCCTCCCTTTGTGTAAAAGCATAAAAGGCATCTGCTTAAGGAAGTCAGGACCTCTGGGTGTACTCCGCTGCGTCGGTTGTCGACAGAGGTCCAGGCTCGAGCTTGCAAATAAAAACCCTCTTGAACTTTCATCGGAATTGGCTCTTGGTGGTCTCTCGGATTGAACTTTCGGCCACTACAACTTCCTCCCAGGCCCTTGGGGAAGAGGAGATTGGGAGACCCGGCACCCCACGGAGAAGTGTGCTGCCCCAGAAGGCACAGGGAAAGAGACTCCTTGCCTTCCTGGGGTTGGAATCGTGGGGTGAGGCAGGGGAGAGTCAGTAGTGCCAAGAATTGAGTGTAAAGAACCATTCCCAAAATAGAGAGATCGTGACACCAAGACTATTATAGGAAGTGGCACTTTATTACGCTGGCTAGTACAGCGGGCCGAGAATTTCAAGCTCGAGCACCCCAGAACAGGAGACGTGGGGTCTTATACCCTCGTTTAGGTAAGGGAGGGGGGTCGTGTTGGGTGATTACATATTTCCTTTGAAATCTTACAAGGTTGTACTCAGCAAAATCAGATTTTTCAAAGAGCAAATGGTTTCCAGGAACTGCAGGCTTGTAAACTGTCCACTTCAGAAGGGGGGTTTTGGGATAAGTCTGTGAATTAGCCACTCTTTTTGCATATCCATTAAATGGCTAGTCTTTGGGCCATTTGGCCTTTCCCAAACAAAACCTGCCTGACTCCCGGGTGGGTCTTTAAAGTTGCAACTTGCCTCTCAAAAGGAAATACCTTTAACTGCTATCAACTCCTTTCCTGCCCTGGGCTAGTGATTGCCATGAGGCCAACTGCTGATCCTGAACCAGCTACATGTTTCTGTGTTGATTCACTCAATCATACAAGAAATATATCTGAGCATTTGCCACATCCTGCCACAAAACCAGTGGCCCCAAATCACACAGATCCACACACTGGCTGGAAGTTTGACTGGTCTAGGCTGGCTCTGCTCCCCACCCCTCATCCTCCCCCTGAGACCCACGGGCTCACGTGGGCATGTCCTTCCCATGATAACAACAGAGCCCTAAGAGCACACAGACCCATGTGTGCAAGGACTCTTCGAGACTCTGTCCATGCTCTGTGGCTGAAGTGTGCCCCACGGCTAAGCCTGGAAGGATGGGACTCATGCCGGGTTCCAGGGGGAGAGCATTGCAGAGTCCCATGTTGAAGGGCGTGGCTGCAGGGAGCAGGAAGGGGCCCATGGGTAGGGCTGCTTCTCAGAGACAGATGCTTAGTCTATTATTATTACTATCATCATCATCATCATCATGTGGCAGGATACGGCAAATGCTCAGATATAGTCCTTGTATGATTGAATAAACACAGAAACATGTAGCTGGTTCAGGATCAGCAGTTGGTCTCATGGCCATCACCTGGGGCAGGAAAGGAGTTGATAGCAGTTAAAGGTATTTCTTTTTGAAAGGCAAGTTGCAACTTTAAAGACCCCGGGCAGGTTTTGTTTAAGAAAGGCCAAATGGCTCAGAGACTGGCTATTTCAGGGAAATGGGAAAAAGTCTTATCTAAAACCCCCCTTCTGAAGTTGACGGTTTACAAGCCTGCAGTTCCTGGAAACCATTTGTTCTTTAACAAATCTGATTTTACTAAGTACAACCTTGTAAGATTCCCAAGGAAGTATGTAATCACTCAACACGACCCTCTCCCTTACCCAAACAAGGGTATAAGACCCCACGTCTCCTGTTCTGGGGCACTCAATTTGGACACATGAAATTCTCGGGCCCGCTGTGCTAGGCAGCGTAATAAAGTGCCACTTCCTATAATAGTCTCGGTGTCACGATCTCTCCGTTTTTCCTGTTACAATCATGTTCTCACTCTGTTGCCCAGGATGGAGTGCAGTGGCACCATCCCAGCTCACTGCAGCCTCAACTTCCTGGGCTCAGATGATCCTTCCGCCTCAGCCTCCCAAGTAGCTGGGACTACAGGTGTGAGCCACCACACCCAGCTAATTCTTTGCTATTTGTAGAGACGAGGTCTCACTCTATGGCCTAGGCTGGTCTTGAGCACCTTACTCAAGTGATCTTCCCTCCTTAGCCTCCCAAAGGGCTGGGATTACAGGTGTGAGCCACTGCGCTCAGCCATCTTTTCATTCTTTTCTCCTCCTCAGTCTTGGTAGACTGAAGGAGGAGGTACCACGAAGAAAAGGCAGAGAATCCTAGGAGGCTGGGCGTTGGCGCCTGGGGCAGAGATCCCCTGAGAAACCTGGAGCACCCAGGCCCTCCCCACTGCCTGGCTCACTGAGTCAGAGAAGCCTCTAGGTATGCCCCAGGACCCGGCACCACCTCTGCCACCAGAGAAATGACACCCTCAGAGCCAGCCGAGGTGTCAGGAAGAGCTCAGGCCTCCCAGGGAGGGAGGGCAGGTGGGTCACAGGACGGGGCAGTCAGGGACTGAGGCCCCAAATCCAGACGTTGTCTCCTTAGATTTGCCTCTCCCGGAGGAGAGGCCTGGGAGACAAGGAAGGCAAACGCATAACAAAATGACAGGGCCAGAGGTAAACGGCCTGTTGGACACAGGAGGACAGCGGTCGCCTGGAGAAACTGAGTTGTCCAGGCAAGTAGGGACAGTGCTGGCTTAGAAACTGGCAGGGGATTCCCAAGACTAGGGACGCTGAGAACGAGTCCCCGGAATGGGATGATCCGGGCAGATTTTGCAGACTGGGAGAGGGTCTTGATCTACACGTAGCAGTTTGAGCACCGTGTCCTGCAGATGGTGAAGGGGGCCGCTGAGCCAAAGCTCATGTTTTTTGGAATGAACTTCTAATAATGAACTTCCTGAGACTTCTCTTACATGCTTAAAACTTTAAAGAGAGAAAGAGACACGTCTGTGATGTATGACAGCTGCCTAAACCTGGCAATTATGGGCCACACGTAGCCTCGATCCATGTGTTGGTTTTTGTTTTTTTTTTTTTTTG